TCTGTCATCTATGCCAGCAGTTACTTGTCCTTCTCTGACCTCTTTCTGCCTCACTCTTTCCCTTATAAGGACCCCTGTGATTATAATAGGTCCACCTGGATAATCTAGGATAATCTCATTTCAAAAATCCTTAACTTAATTACACATATAAAGTTCCTTTTGGCATGTGAACACATCCATAGGTTCTAGGTATTAGAACATGGAAATATTTGGGGGACCATTATTTTGCATACCACACCATCTTGATAATTTAAAAACCTCCCATCTATGGATAAAGTATATGTCTGCATATGTTTGTGTGTTCTGCCCTCAGTGTGTTCATATTTCACTTCTTTTGTCATGTTTATTCCTAAGTATTTTATATTTTTCTGCTATTTAAATTTGATGCTTTTAAAATTTCAAGTTCTAGTTCTTTACTAGTATAAATACAACTGGTTTTCATTTATTGATGTTTTCTGCACCCTTTCCAAAATTCATATTAGTTCTAGTAAAATCATTTGGATTTCCTACATAGATAATCATGTTATCTGTGAGTAGATAGTTTTACTTCTTTTCCCATCTGGATGCTTTTTATTTCTTTTTCCTGTCTGATTACAGTGCTTAGAGCTAAATAGAAGTGGGGAGAGTGGACACCTTGTTTTGCTTATCTTAGGGAGAAAGATTTTAGTCTTTAACCATAAAGTGTAAAATCAACCAGAGGTTTTTTATCAATGCCCTTTATCAGCTTGAAGAAGTTCCTTCTATTACTGGTTTGCTGAGTTTTAAAATCAGGAATGGATGTTGGATTTTGTCAAATGCTTTTCCTGCATTCTGTCATCTGTTAAGGTGATTTGTATGGCTTTTCTTTTTTAGTATGTTAACATGGTAAAATACATTTCCACAATGCTTCCTAATTTCCCTTTTCATTTCTTATTTATAGATTACTTAGATGTATGTTACATAGTTTCAAAATATATGGAGGATTTTCCAGATGTATTTCTGTCACTGATTTCTAATTTCATTTGATTGTACTCAGAGAATATACTTCTGAATTTACCAAAACTTGTCCTGTGGCCCAGAATGTGGTCTTTGTAAATAGTCTGTGCATACTTGAGAAGACTGTTGGGTAGAGTATTCTGTGACTGTTGTCAGTCATGTTTGTTGATATTGTTATTCAAGTCTAATGGATACTTGTTGATTCTCTATGTACTTGTTCTCAGTTATTGAAGGAGGCGTATTAAAATCTCTGACTCTGATTGTGAACTTGTCTGTTTCTCCTTACAGTCCTATCAGATATTGTTTCATGTGTTTTCAAGCTTTATTATTGGAAGTATAAATGTTTAGGATGATCGTTGACTAATTTGCCCAGTTATCATTATGAAATGACCTTCTTTATACTTTTTGATATTCTTATGTGATGTTAATATAGTCACTGTAGCTTTCTTCTGACTGGCATTTGCATGTTATATGTATTGTTTATCTTTTGGTTTTTAACCTGTTCATGTTCTCATATTTCAAGTGTAGGAGACATAGAGCTGCATCTTGTCTTTTTATCTAATCTGACAACCTCTGCTTTTAATTGGGATATTTCAACTATGTTTTTATACATGTAATGTGATTGATAGGATTAGGTTTAAGTGTATCATGTTGCTGTTTGTTTTGTATTTTTACCATCTGTTCTTTATTCCTTTTAAATTTTGATCCTGCCCTCTTTTGGATTAATTGAATATTATTTACAATCCCACTTACCAATTCTCTTTTAAAGATACTTAACTACATATTCTTACATACACATACATACACATTCTTAACATACTATTCTTACATACACATATTTACCCATGTCATTAATATTTCCAGAGTTCTTTATTGCTTTGTAGAGATCTCAGTTTTCATCTGGTATCATTTGCCTTCTGCCCAAAGAATTTCCTTTAACATTTCTTTCAGGGCAGCTCTGCTGCTGGTGAGTTCTTTTTGAAAACATCTTTATTTTCTTTGAAAATTTTGCATCTTAATCTGGTGCATTTATCTGGACTTTTATATTCATTTATCCATTCAACAAAATATTGGGTACCTATAATGTACCAGGCAGTATCCTAGGCATTTGAGTGTATAGCAGTGACCCAAATGAGGGGAAAAAAATCTCTATCTTCTTGGAGCTTAAATTCTGCTCAAGGTAGATGGATAACAAATAAGCAATATAAAGTAACAAGAAAAAAAGTCGTAAGAGCTCTGGAGAAAAGAAAACTGGAGAAGAGAATAGAAGTAGTCTGGTTTGAGTGAGTTTTCAGCATGATGGTTAGAAAAGTCTTATCTGTAAAGATGACATTTAAGCAAAGACCTGATAAAGATGGAGTGAGTCATGTGGAAATCCAAGAGGAGAGAATTTCAGATAGAAGAGTAATGATAAGAGCCCCAAGGTTTATAGTCATCAGTGTGCCCATTGGGTTCAAGAGTAGCGATGGGGCCAGTGTGGCTGATCAGAGTGCATAGGGAGTGGGTGGTAGAGGAGGAGAGCAGAGAAGCTGTGGAGGACTAGACGTGGAGTGCCTTGCAGGAGTTTCTGAAAGAGATGGACAGCTGCTGCAGGGCCCTGAGCTGGAAGTGACATGATCTGACTTAACTTTAAAAGGATCATTCTGGCAACCATATTGAGAATAAACTGTATGTTAGAGACGAGAAGAAAGAACAAAAAAATGGAGAAACCAGTTAGGAGATTGTTTATTATGATCCAAATCCAGCTAGAGTGGTGACACATGCATAACTCAAGTGAGACCTATAAGAGGTGGTTAGATTCTGGATATTTTGAAGGCAGACATGAAGGATTCACTGATGGCTTAGATATGGGTATGAGAAAAGGAGAAGAGGAGTTGGGAATAATTCCTTGGTTTTAGCCTAAAGAAGTGGAAGGATAGAATTATTTTCTGATGTAAGAAAACTGTGGGAATCAAATGCCTACAACAGCCTAGCCACGTGGCAGGTGCTTTGTAAATATTGAATGAATAATGAATGAGAAGGGTAGAAGTTCACGTTAGGGACTGTTTATACATTTACATGGAGATGTTCACTGAACAATTAGATGCCATAATTTAGAGGGCAGGTAAGAAGTCTAAACTAGGATTCTCCTGGAAGTCATAGGCTGTCACTTGAAAAAGTTATAAAATTATAAAATCTGGGAAGAATTCAAATCCTTGTAATACTGTATTTCTATCCAACAAGAGACATAAATAAGAATATTTATAACAGCATTATTTGTAGTAGCCCTAAACTGGGAAGAAATATTCACCACCACTCCCCCCACCAAAGAATAGAAATTGTGGTATCATCATAGTATGGTATTATACAGTAATGAAAACGAATGTACATGTAACACAATTGAAGCCAAACATAATGCTTTCTGGATGATTTCACTCATAAAAATTGAATTATGGTGCCAAAGGTCAGGATGAAGATTATTTTAGGGGAGGAGGGAGCAGGTTACTTTATATTTACTTATTTGTTATCTTGGATAACAAATGTCTTCTGATTGGAAGACAACACTAGGGAACCTTCTAGAAGACTTGTAATGTTCAATTTCCTCATGGGAGCAATGATGATGTATTTGCTTTGTCATCATTCACTGAGCTGTACGTTTATGTTTTGGATACTCTTTGGTAGACATGTTCAATTTCTTAAAAAAAAAATTGTCATGTTAACATATTGCTTTCCAAAGAATTTATTGACCAGACTCTAGTTTTGGACTTTTCATCTGGTTCAAAGTGGTCATAAGACATACAAAATAATCCATTTAAAATATGGTGGGAAGAGTGTTGTGTAAAGGACCACGTCCTGAATAAGGGGGAGGAGGCAGAGTTTTAACCATGGAAGGAGCTAGTGCAGGGCTTGGTAAGCTGTCTCCCTTGACATCTAAAATGTTATTTGATCTTTAAGTTTGGAATTTAAAATTAATTAGAACTCAGTAAGATATCTAAAATTTAAAAATAAGTTTAAAATATAACATTAAAACTCCAAACCTCACATTTGAAACTCTAAGATAGAGTATTTCTCAATACAATGTGGTAACCTTATGAAAATAGACCTAAGCTGAATTAAGTCTGTGTTAGTTATTTTGAACTTTGAGCATTAAGGTGAGTATATGAGTTCTTATGATTTATGAGTGTTCCCTCTACAATACTTGGTAATGATATTAAAGCCATCTATATAGATGAATCTATAGATTAAGACCCAGTCCCACTCCTATATATGTATCAGTGTGTCCTCCCTGTCATTTGGCTTTAAGTGCTTCAATTAGATGAACTCTAATAAGATACAAGATAAGAGTGATTAAGGCTAAGGTCATTGAGGTTCAAGATAAAGGAAGAGAAAGTACAATCTACCAACATAGGTGGTGAAGTTTCACAAGTTTTATCAACTGAAGATCAGACCTCAGTGGGACCGCCCCTCAAAAGATTAGCGTGATTGAAGGCTGCACTGTTGCAAGTATGGGAGATAATTGAGATAATTAGACTACACTGAGAGGGGGTATGATAAGTTTGTGGCACTGTGTTTTAAGAGTGACGTTGACAAAATAAGCTCATCCAAAGGAAAGCATAGGCTTGGGGGATTATGAGAAATGGGTTATATGGCTGAGGAAACTTGGACTTGAAGTCTCACAGCAGCCCTGTAAGTAAGGCATTATTTCCACTTTAAGAAAGGACATTGAGGCTCAGAGAGTTAAATTGTAACTGAAAAGTGGTTGGCTCAAGACTCATCTCTTGATTCTTAATCTGATTTTCTTTCTGTTTCAGAATACTGGTTTTTAATTTTGTCTTTAAAATATGTATATGTTGATAGGCTAATTAATGGCTAGGCTTTTAAAATACAGAGAAACTTGAAGGTGCTATTATCTAGAGATTAAGTAAAAGGGAACATTCATGGTAGGAAGACCAATATGGGCAAATAGTTTGGTTATCAGTATTATACATTTAGCAATATTATAGAAATGTATTGTCTTTTACATATTTCTCTTTCTTTTTTTCAAGGTCTTTGACTCCAATGAAGAATCTGGGTATCTTGTTCTCACCATAGTTATATCAGGTCATTTCTTCATTTCCCAAGGACAGACACTACTGGTAGGTTTTGTGTGTAATAGTTTAATATGCAAATATTTCTTTATACTCTTAGCTTTACATGAATTGTGTCCTTGAACTTCTTCATTCTCACTGAAATTTATCAAGGTCAACAGATTATGTGCTCTAACAGTGGGAAATACAGAAATGTACTGAATATTGGCTTGGTGGATATAGCTCAGTGGCTATGGTGCCAGCCACATACACCAAAGGTGGCGAGCTCGAGCCCAAGCCAGGCCTGCCAAACAAAAATGACAACTACAATCAAAAAAATATCTGGGCGTTGTGGCGGGCACCTGTAGTCTCAGCTACATGGGAGGCTGAGGCAAGAGAATCGCTTAAGCCCAGGAGTTAGAGATTGCTGTGAGCAGCTGTGACAACACGGCAGTCTACCAAGGGTGACTTAGATTCTGTCTCGAAAAAAAAATAATAAAAAGAAAGAAAGAAAGAAATATACCGAATATTGTGGACCTAAAGGGGTTTAGGATTTTGTTGGGAGTCGAAATAGACCTAGGTATGATAAAGGATTCTTAATTGGTGAGACTCCCTTACATGTTCTATGTTCTTCTGAGTTGAAGATAGGCTTGATTTATAAACCTGAGCATGGGGGGGTTTCCAAACAGGGAAAATAGCATATGCATAGGGATTTGAGGAAATAGCTAAAAGAAAACAAAAAGTATGCTATTATTGATAGAGCCTGCCACAAAACTCTAGATTTATAAAGATGCACATGTTCTTTTTTCTGAATATGTATACACTTCCGGAAAATTTGGAATGAAGAAATAAGAATCACCTGACTTGAAAATGTAGCTTTAATTTGTTATATGGAAACAAAATGAATTAAGAAATAAGATAATTGTTTACTTCCAATCAAAGAAATTGTACAAGAAAGGAAATATTAATGTAATATCATTTAGCTGTGGATGTCTACACAGATCCAAATTCACATAAAAATATACTGAATATCTGCATAGGCATAATTTAGCAAATATGTATTGAGCGATACATATGCTAGACACTTTTGGTGATGCTAGTGATACAGCAGTGAACAGCAAAGATAAAAATCCATATTATTCTAGTGGGAGAAACAGCAGTAAACAAATAGGTCAAATACATTTAAAAGACATTAATTTTTGGTGACTCCCTTCCATGTTCTATTATGATAGGATGGCAGGATCCCACATGTGCGTACTGTAATGATTCATTTTTCCACTTCAGTGAAACATAGCGTTATCATTGAATGTGAGGTCACCTACAAAGTCATGTTTGTGTTCCTTGTGACTTCAAACTGCAGCACAAGTTGTACTGTTTTGCTTTATCTGTCACTGTCAGGGTCTGCATCATTTGCAAGAGATAAGGTTTCTTCAGTTGCTAACAAAGAGTACCTCAGACAGTAGACGGAGGGACGCCTAGCGTGCACAGTCAGTTCTCCCGGCAGTATCGCGGGTTTTTCTGAATGGTGCTATTAATACAGGTTGACTTCCTCAGGCATGGGGACCACCCCATGCTTTATCTGTGATTTATCTTTTTGCATCAGTGCTAGATGTGCTGACAAATGGGTAGAAGCTTCTTTGTCTCATCCCTAGAATGATTTTGCACTTATAGGTATAAAAACAAATTTATCAAATTCCACCGTACCCACTACTGAGAAATACGACGGTAAGTCTACAAGTTGGAGCATATTGCACATGTGCCTCCTGATGTTCCATTAGTGGGGATGGCATATGTGACGGTGGTCCTGTAAGAGTTTTTTTCCCCCCATAAGGTTTTGATGGAGCCAAAGGGTTCCTATCACCTAGTGACACCTTGAAATCCTGACACTGTGTAGGCTTGGGCTAATGTGTGTGTTTGTGACTTAGTGTTTTGTGTGTGTGTAAGAATGATAAGGTATTGGAATCTGTCACTGGGCTAGAGTACAGTGTTGTTGTCATAGCTCACAACAACCCTGAAACTCCTGGGCTTAGGTGATCCTCCTGCCTCAACCTCCCAAGTAACTGGGACTGCAGGTACCCACCACAACACCCAGCTAGTTTTTCTATTTTCAGTAGAGATGGAGTCTCACTCTTGCTCAGGCTGTTCTCAAGCAAGCCACCTGCCTTGGCCTCCCAGAGTGCTAGGATGAGCCACTGCACTTGGCTTCTTTCTTTCCTTTTTATTATTTTTATTTTTGGCAGGGTCTCCCTCTTGTGGCCCTGGCTAGAGTGCAGTGGTGTCATCAGAGCTCACGGCAGCCCTGAAACTCCTGGGCTCAAGCTATCCTCCTGCCTCAACCGCCTGAGTAGCTGGGACTACCAGGCACCTGCCACAAAGCCCAGCTAATTCTTCTATTTTTTGTAGAGAGGAGGTCTTGCTTGCTAAGGCTGGCCTTGAACTCCTTAGCTCAAATAATTCCACTATGTCAGCCTCCCAGAGTGCTGGGATTACAAGCATGAGCCACTGCGCCAGGCCTGTGTCATAGTTTTTAACAAAAACATTTAACAAGTCAAAAAAAAAAGAAAAATATTTTTAGGGCAGCACCTGTAGCTCAGTGGGTAGGGTGCTGGCCATGTACACTGGGGCTGGTGGGTTTGAACCTGGCCCAGGCCTGCTAAAACCAATAATAACAACTACACCAAAAAAAATATAGCCAGACTTTGTGGGCGGGTGCTTGTAGTCCCAGCTACTTGGGAGGCTGAGACAAGAGAATTGCTTAAGCCCAAGAGTCTGAGGTTGCTGTGAGCTGTGACATCACAGCACTCTACCAAGGGCAACAGCTGGAGACTCTGCCTCAAAAAAAAAAAAAGAAAAAAGAAAAATATTTTTATACCATATGTGTGTTTTAAGCTAAGTGTTATTGCAAAAGAGTCAAAAAGAGTTTTAAAAAATTTAGAAGTTTATGAAGTAGAAATGTTATAGTACGCCAAGGTTAATTTATTGTTGAAGACAGACAAATATTTTTATAAATTAATGAGGCCTAAGTGCACAATTTACAAAGTCTACAGTAGTGTACAGTAGTGTCCTAGGTCTTCACATTCACTCACTGACTCACTCAGAGCAGCGTCTAGTTCTGCAAGCTCCATTCATGTTCTCAAGACAGATGTACCTTTTTTATATTTTTCATTTATTTTATTTTATTTTTTAAATTTCAGATTAATATGAAGGTACAAGATGATTAGGTTACAATGTTTGGATTGTTAGGTAAGATCCCAGTTGCAGTTGTGTCCTGCACCTAGGAGGTGTGCCATATACCTTTACATTGTGCCCATTTGGTGGGAGCATCACAATGGCCCTCCCTCTTCCCCCTGCGCATCTCCCCACCCCCAACTTGAATCGAGTTTTTCTCTGAGTGGGCATGTATTAGTTGATCTGCTGGTTTTGTATTTGTATTGAGTACATCAGATACTTGCTCTTCCATTCTTGTCATACTTTACTAACAAGAATGTGTTTCAATTCATCTCATTTTTTATCTTTTATCATATTTTTATTATACCTTTTTTATATTTAGATACATTTAGATTCACAAATACTTAGCATTGTGTTACAGTCACCTGTAGTATTCAGTGCAGTAACATTCTATATAGGTTTGTAGCCCAGAGCATGGACTATACCATACAGCCTGGGTGTGTAGCAGGTACCCATCCAAGTTTGTGTAAGTACACTCTATGAAGTTTGCGGGATGAAATTGTCTAATGACACATTTCTCAGAACCTATCCCTGTTTTTAAGTGATACGTGACTGTACATATATAATATAGATATTAATGTTTTTAATTCTGAAGTTTGTAATACTTTTATAAAATTATACCTCATAAGTCACTTTTATTGAGGTATAATTTACATAAGAAAATTCACTAATTTTGAGGGTTCAATTTGATGTGTTAGACAGGGTCTTGCTATGTAGTTCAAGCTCGTCTTAAACTCTTGTCTTCAAGTGACCCTTCCACCTAGGACTCCCAAAGTGCTGGAATTACAGGTGTGAGCCACTGTAACTGGTCCCAATTGGATAAATATGTATACCCATGTAACCACCACCATAATCACGATACAGAACATTTTAATTAACGTGGGAAGTTTCCTTGTGCCCCTTTGTAGTCAGTCCCTCCTCTCCCCACCCCAGCACGTAACACCACTGATCTGCTTTCCATCACTATAGTTTCTTGCCTTCTCTTTTTTCTTAATTAACTTTTATTTATTTTTGAATTGACAGATAAAATTGTATGTATGTACTGTGTACAACATTCTTTGAAGAATATATACATTGTGGAATGACTAAATCTAGGTAATTAACATACATGTTACCTTACTATATCTTGCCTTTCCTAGAAAGCAGGTATTAGAAACATACGATATGTAGTCTTTTGCATCTGGCTTCTTCCACTTAGCATAACGATTCTGAGATTCATCCATGTTGTTATGTGTTATCAGGAAGTAGTTAGTTTCTTTTTGTTACTCGCCAACTCAACAGTATTTAATTGTGTGGAGAAACCTAATTTGCTTATCCATTCAACTACTGATGGACATTTGGGTTGTTTCCATGTTTTGGCTATTATGAATAACACTGGTGAACTTTTATATACAAGCCTTTGTATAGCCATGTGTTTTCACTTCAGTAAATGCCCATAGAGGAACTGCTGAGTCAGATGGTATGTCTGTGTTTAACTTTATAAAAAAACACAAAACTGTTTTCCAAAGTTGCATTCCCATAAGCAATATATAAGGTTCCAGACGTTCTACATCCTAACCAACACTAGGTACTTTTTAACTATCCGAGTGAGGGTAGTAAGATCTCATGATGGTTTTGATCCACTTTTTTTAGTGACTACTGATGTTGAGCATCTTATGTGTTTGACATTTGGATATCTGATGGACGAAGTATTAGTTTGTGTCTTTTAATTACTTTTAATCAAGTTGCTGGTCATCTTCTATTTAAATTATAAGAGTTCTTATTCTGGTTACAGCTCTTTTATCAAAAATATGTTCTGCAAACATTTCTCCCAGTTTATGGCTTAGTGTCTTTTGAAGAGC